GTTGCTAAAGAAGGTGGTTATGCATATACAGGGGGAGGAGATATATGAGAAATCTCTGTAACTTCTCCTCAGTTTTGCTGCATATTTTACAGTGCTTTAAAAAATGAACTCAATGAAAAAATCATAGGTTGGCAGTCATAATTTTCAACTATATACATATATTTAAATATTTTAATAATTAATATATCAAATATATTTCTTCTGAAATACATGCATATTATCCTTTTTATGAATGGAATAATATATGTCAGTTTCATAATAAAAGAGTAGAGATTAGGAATTAGAATAAAGTACTATAATTTATGATCGCAGTAATATAAATTATCATAAGTTGAAAGACTTCATGAATGCTGAAACAATATAATATTAGTTTATATTGTCAAGCAGTGCTACTGTGTATGTGATATATCTTATACCTTAAAGTAGAAATGAACACTTCAAAGAGGACAAAAAAAGGAAACTAAATTCCCAGGTTCAGAAGCATTGATATATTTTATAGGTGAAACTTTTTCTAATTATTTATTTATCCTGAATTTTCTTTATTCTTGAAATAAGTATTAAGGAAATATAAACATAACAAAATTATAATTATTTTATTATCATCATTATAAATAGACAAAATAAAAATATCTGAAGCTCAAGCTTGTGAGTGATAGAAACATTTTAGCAGATTCTGTGTTTCAAATCAGTTAGTAAAATGACTATCAAATTGCTTAAATGATAGTTATAAGATATTAGAGGTGCCAATAATTAATAATACATATAAAACTGTAGAGATAACATGTATGCAGAAATAAGATAGTTTATATTTATCCTATAAAAATATTATACAGTCATAAAATAAAGACTGCTTGTTTTTACTGTGGAAACTAAAAGGATTTTTACTTTCATAATGTGACATCCTGACTAGCTGATAGCAATAAATTCTGTATTATGATGTTTTCTTTTTTCCCCTGTGGATATGTCACTTTCACTATTTAAAGCTGAGAATGCTTAACATGATGAAGGTTGTTAGGAGAATAATATATAAACTATATATCCCAGAAAGTTGGTCTCCCTTGACCCTTTTGCTCATTGACCACTGGCATATTTGCCACAATGCCAACATTCTGAGGAGCAATATAGTTGTCTCCCCTTATCTGTAGGTTACACATCCCAAGGCCCTCATTGAATGTTTAAGATCTCATATATCAGAGATACACATGATATAGAACATCACATATCATGATATAGAATCCTATACATATCTTGTATTTTTTCTGAACATACCTATGGCAAAATTTAATTTATAAATTAAGCACACTAAGAGAATGCCCAAACAGAGTAGAATGACCTGAGATTTTATCATGCTGCTCAGAATGGTGGACAGCATAAAATCTAAGAATTTTTAAATTTTGGAATTTTCTGTTCAATACTTTTGGACCACAGTTGACTGTGGGTAACTGAAACCACAGAGAGTGAAACTGCAGATACAGTCAAAGGGATACTTCACCTAGCAGTAAACAATAAGGATCTTAAGATTGAAATGCTGTATATTCTGAATCAATCACATCTTTCAACCTGAAAACAATGGGATTTAATTTGGATAGTCCTGTTTGGGCTTCCCAGGTGGCTCAGTGGTAAACCATCCTGCCAAGACCGCAGATGTACCTTCTATCACCCCTGGGTCATCAGGAATATCCCCTGGAGTAGAGAAAAGCAACCCACTTCAGTATTCTTGCCGGGAAAATACCATGGACAGAAAAGCCTTGTGGGCTATAGTCCATGGAGTCACAAAGAGTCAGATATGACTAAGCATGCACACACACTCATGCATTTTCAGAAAAATCTATGGAGTACAATGTAATGCATAATATGTCACTTCTGATATATTAACCAAGGTCCTTTGTGTTTTAATAAAATGTAACATTCCCCACACTGTACATTGTTAAATGTTTAGCTGTGCTGATTAAAAATAAAATGGAAATCTCAGTGAACTGAGAGTACAAAGGGTGCCGAAGAAAGTAAAAATGTTTTCATTACAAATGTTTTGAATGAAAATATTTTTTAAAAGGTGATTTTTCTATGTAAAAATAGATTTTGTCTGTTCTACTAGCTTGAAATTTCATATTTAATATTTATCCACATAATGATAATCCTGAAGAAGAGAGTGAACTATTAAATCATTCAACAACATGCTATTTTTTAAATGAATGCTAGTGTGAGCAACAAGTAGTCAATAAATTTATATAAAATAAAGAGCAAGTGAATATTTTTAAATTTAAGCCACGCATAAGCATTCAGATGTAAGTCCTTTTGAATTTTTATCATTTATCATTCTAATGTTCTTTCTCACTCAGAACACTCTACCAAGTGATTTCTTTTAATTGTGGTAAAAAAAATTGCATAAGATTGGCTATCTTAACTATTTTTAGTGTACAGTTCAGTAGTATTAAGTATATTCGGACTGTTGTACAATTTTAAAATCTAGGCCATCTTGTTCTTCACAACTACAGTAATTCTGGTAATATCTGTGAGTTGCTTATCTCTCTGTAAGTTGTTTAAAATATATAAACTTATTTTTAGTTATATTAAACTTTTTGAAAAAAAAAAGTAAAATTGTTGCAAACTATCAACTTGTATATGAGCAACACGACAGAAATATTTTCATATTTATATTGTTATAAAATAATAATAGTAATAGTAATATTACTATATTAATAGTATAGTAATATTGTTATATTACTATAGTGAAGAAAACCATGCTTCTTTTGGATATAATATTTGGATATAACTTCTGTAAATATATCTGGACAGTGTTTCCTTACTATTTATGATTCTCTACAACTTCCGTCATAATATGTGCTACATAGGAGCCACAAATGGCTCAAAGTAGATAGGATTCACATATTTTATTATCTACAATAACTTACAATTTAAGGACTGTTAAATCAAACCTACTATTAGCAGCTCCCACAAGCTCTAATATTTATGAAATTGTTGTGTTAACATATAATACACCAAATGAAGATATTTAATTTAGGAAAGAATCAACTCAGGAGAAATGTGTGAATCATGCTGAGAAATATTCCAGTGTTTCAAAGTTAATGTGCCCTGAAATTTTAATCTGTGATAAAACTATATACTAAGTTTTATAGCAATGACTGGATTTCCTGATCTTAGCACTGATCCAAGAAGAAATTAAATCAAATACTTTTATTTCAATCTATTAGCATTGCCACCTGTATGTATTGGAGTCACTCATTACCTAGACTTTGAAAACCAGTGCTTAAGGTAAAAATTGCGAATATTACAACTGTTCTTTAAATTCCAGTAGAGTTGCTAAATTAATGGTAAACTAAGCATCTTTAAGCATACAGAGTTGAGTTTTCCCATAGAATATATATATAGAAAAACATTTCATTAGTAGATAACAAAACAAAAAATGTGGTTTATTTACCAGTTTTAAAATTCTCTTCTCTCATATTTATTGTTTTAGTATATTATATATTTGGGGGTGATCATGGTGGTGGTGGAATAAAGATGCCCAAAGACAAGCTGTGGCCTTGTGCTATAAGGCAGCTCTAGTAGTCTACCTAAAATTGAGACAAATATAACATTAAATTTGGTAATTATGTTTTGTAATGCTGAAACTGTGTGACCCAGAAACTTAGAAAAGTGAGATCAATGTAGAATAAATCTAAATCATTTTATCTCTAACAATGAAAAACAAAGCACTCAGGTTTCAAACACAGGTCCACCTAGCAAAAAGCCTTAATCACATCCACATTTAAATCATTTCAAATATAAAATAATAATCTGAAAATTCAATTTTTTAGCTTTGTCTTTCTAGTGGTAAAAAAAAAAAACAACTAGAAGTCTTTTCTACAATTATTTTATGCACAAATATGATTGCTAACAATCATGATTTTCTAACTCTTCAAATATGTTAATACATTTGATATATTTGTGAATATTATCTTCTGTGAGAATTAATCTATTGAAGTTGATTATTCCAAATGACTTTTTGTACAACAGTTCTAGGTGAGGATAAATGGAATCTTGTTTTCACTTTCAATCTATTTCTTTCCTAAAATTTATGCTAAAGTCAGCTAGAAAATAAAATCTATAGGACTATTAGTATATGTGAAGAAATGCATTCAGAAATTGTTGAAAAGAAAAAAAAAACAGATATATTGCAAAAGATTTTAGCATTAAAGCCACTAAGTTTAAAAAGCGTGCAATTTATGGGGTACATTAATATGAAAAGTTGGATACTTTAAACAACACAAATTTTGGATAACACAACCTACTATAAGTAACATAATATTTATATCCTGAATACATACTTTGCATTAAATTATGTCAAATGTATATGACAGACAAAGGGATTATCTTCAGAGGATACATGTTGCAAATTCAAACAGTTTTAACCCAGGAGACATTAAAAGTTAAACTTCTTAGCGGGTCATAGTAGCGCGCTAAACAGGGACAACTAGTGAAGTGTGCATGACTAAAGGGTCAGCTGGCAGACACACAAGCGCCTGTGTGGGGCAGTATTGCTTACACTAGGTTTTCTAAACTGAGCTGAGACCAGCTGGGAACCATATTACCACCCTTGCAGCAGAAGGGCTGCTGTGTTAGCAAACTTGGAATACATAAACCTATGCCAAATCTACCTTCGGTGATAAGACCTGTCTATTGATGCTGTAAAATTTTACCCATTGTATCAAATAAAGAGTTGATAATCGATAGGACCTGATTAACAAGGCAATTTGAGCATAGCTATCAAATGGGGCTGAAGATATCCTCAAAATCTCTACCTCAATGTGATTCATTCCTTTGATTCTACATATGTCTACAACAGCTTCTTTCACTGTTATAATACAATATCTCTTCTTCTTACACTTATTGTATACTTTTGGGTCTTTGGAATATATTATATGGATATTTGCATATTTAAAAATATGTTTTTAAAAGAGACCCAAGTATATCACACCAAGTGTTGAACTGTTTTACAGATTTGTGAAGCTGGAAATCATTTCATCAATGTAGTGCTGGCTCATCCCAGTCACACAGGTTAGTCACTTCTTTAATCTTCTCCAGAGTGAATTATGCTAATTATTATTTTTTAAAACAATGGTTGGAAATACTTAAGGTTTGTGTTCCCCAATTCTTGTTCTATTATGTCTAATTTTTGAAAATATTTGAACTAAATTATAGTCCCTAATTATGGTTTCTCTAAAATGAAGTGTACATGTAAACACACACACACACACTTTCTTTAAGCATATTTAAAAAAGTGATTAAGATGTAAATAAGTGTGAAATCCATTGATGATTATCCAAATTTCTTAGCTTAACTTTCAATCTTAATCTGGTTTGGACAATATCTGTTACAATCCAGCAGGATTGAAAAAAAGTTCATAAGCTTTTTCAATAAAAGTGAATCTTCTTTGACAAATTCAGTGGCAGTAGAATAGCAATACCTGAGAGATCATTGAATTTAGTACTTTGCTAAAAGATTTGAAAATATTTACAATGCCTAAAAAGTTCCATGGACAGAGGAACCAGGTGGGCTAGAGTCCACGGGGGTCATAAACAGTTGGACATGACTGAGTGAACACACAGAGTGTCTATATAATTTAAAGGCATTTTTGGTAAATCAATACTCTCACTCAGGCTCAATTATAGCACAATGATTTATTTTACAGTGTGCATACTTTAATTTTAACTTCAAATAGCTGTGGTCAACATTTGGGTTTCATGATTTTATTGTCTAATTGCAAGTGTGTTTGTGTCTTCAAGTTTGTTTTAACATTGACCTGAAATTCTTAACATTTTCTTGAAAGTTTCTAGCAGGCTGGAGAAGTAGATATATGAGTATGTTCCAGAATAGTTTTTCACATAATACATAAAATTACAAAGGAAATTTATATTAGACTATATATGGACATATAAAAAGCTATAATATAGTATATAATAACTGTTTTATTATAATATTCACATATTTTAATAACTTTAACTTTTGCTTGAGTTGATGACAACAAATTATACATTTGGATATATAAAACAACTGAATATGATTTGAAACTTTCTATACTTTCTCTTGCAGAAAAAAACTTAACATAATAATACAAATACTACTGTGGTTTATTGTCTGCATTTACATTGAAGTAAAGCCTACACTTAACAAAGAGGTTGTATTTTCATCTGACCCAAATACATAGATCTACTGGTTTCTCTTTGGAAGTATGTAAAGTCCAAATGAAAACCTTCTGATGGTCTGATTTTTTTTTTTTTAAGCATAGAAGCAGATCACAATGCAATTTTATAAAAATATTGACATTGACAAGCCTATGAATATCAAAAATTTTATTCTTTACTCTGAGCCTCTAGCATGGTGACTTGCTCAAGTTTCCTCACCTGGAATATGCTGTCATCAGGATTGAAAAAAAGTTCATAAGCTTTTTCAATAAAAGTGAATCTTCTTTGACAAATTCAGTGGCAGTAGAATAGCAATACCTGAGAGATCATTGAATTTAGTACTTTGCTAAAAGATTTGAAAATATTTACAATGCCTAAAAAGTTCCATGGACAGAGGAACCAGGTGGGCTAGAGTCCACGGGGGTCATAAACAGTTGGACATGACTGAGTGAACACACAGAGTGTCTATATAATTTAAAGGCATTTTTGGTAAATCAATACTCTCACTCAGGCTCAATTATAGCACAATGATTTATTTTACAGTGTGCATACTTTAATTTTAACTTCAAATAGCTGTGGTCAACATTTGGGTTTCATGATTTTATTGTCTAATTGCAAGTGTGTTTGTGTCTTCAAGTTTGTTTTAACATTGACCTGAAATTCTTAACATTTTCTTGAAAGTTTCTAGCAGGCTGGAGAAGTAGATATATGAGTATGTTCCAGAATAGTTTTTCACATAATACATAAAATTACAAAGGAAATTTATATTAGACTATATATGGACATATAAAAAGCTATAATATAGTATATAATAACTGTTTTATTATAATATTCACATATTTTAATAACTTTAACTTTTGCTTGAGTTGATGACAGCAAATTATACATTTGGATATATAAAACAACTGAATATGATTTGAAACTTTCTGTACTTTCTCTTGCAGAAAAAAAATTAACATAATAATACAAATACTACTGTGGTTTGTTGTCTGCATTTGCATTGAAGTAAAGCCTACATTTAACAAAGAGGTTATATTTTCATCTGACCCAAATACATAGATCTACTGGTTTCTCTTTGGAAGTATGTAAAGTCCAAATGAAAACCTTCTGATGGTCTGATTTTTTTCTTTTTTAAGCATAGAAGCAGATCACAATGCAATTTTATAAAAATATTGACATTGACAAGCCTATGAATATCAAAAATTTTATTCTTTACTCTGAGCCTCTAGCATGGTGACTTGCTCAAGTTTCCTCACCTGGAATATGCTGTCATTATTTGAAAATTTTAAACCATCACATTCTCAAACTGAAAATGTTCATGTGAGAAAGACCTGTGTGTGTGTGTATTTACTCCACTCTTTAACTTGCTTTGTATGTCGCTGTTGCCAAGTCAGAAGCAAATGTAATCTCTCCTTGGTTAACTGGCTTGGTCTTTTGCCTTGAGACTCAGAACACTTTTCTTTATCACTAAAGTCTATTAATTTTGTACAGAATTTCATAGGATGTGTCTTAGAGCTTATAATTCCAGATCATGTCTGACTCTTTATGATCCCATGAAGTGTAGCCCACCAGGTTCCTTTGTTCATGGAATTCTCCAAGAAAGAATAGTGGAGCAAGTAGCCATTTATTTCTTTCTCCAAAGGAATCTCCCCATCCCAGGGATAAAACATGGTTCTCCCACATTGCAGGCAGATTCTGCACCATCTGAGCCACCAGGGAAGCCCAGTTTTCCCAGAGACATCATGTAATCTTTTAGATGGTTGACTCATCATCTTGTTTAAGTTCTAGAAAGTTTTCTTGTATTATTATTCTTGCATTATAGTTTAAAATTTGATTTTGTTACATTTTGGATGGCGAGAAGATGGTGGGGTGAACATGTTACATCTGCTTCTATTTTATATTTCAATCACTTTCAATGTTTAGCTTTTTGTTCATTTTTTTTAAATGTTTTTGTTCATCTACTAAATATCCCCTATTCTATTGATCATTCCACCCTTAGGCAAACTGAAATATATTCAACCCATATTACTAACTTTTTTGTTTTTTTCTTTTTCTACAATTTAATTATTGAAAACAATCAACTCTTTTTCCTTCCTGTTTTATACATATCTTTTTTGAGTTCTGGGATTTCGTCACAGTTACATTCTTTGTTATCTGCAAATGCTTCTATATGTTAAAATGTTTCTCTTTTATTTTGGGGAGGATTCTTTTAATCACTTGGGGAAAATGCTTGCTTTATATTTTATTCACATAAAAGCTTTATGTGAATATTGANACATATCTTTTTTGAGTTCTGGGATTTCGTCACAGTTACATTCTTTGTTATCTGCAAATGCTTCTATATGTTAAAATGTTTCTCTTTTATTTTGGGGAGGATTCTTTTAATCACTTGGGGAAAATGCTTGCTTTATATTTTATTCACATAAAAGCTTTATGTGAATATTTATCAAATTATGTTCATTTTAAGTGTATGGATTGTCCTTGAACAGAAATAACAAATGTTTTCAGAGATGTGGTGATGAAGGGAAGTCTCTAAAGGATAAAGTGTGTTCTGGAGGACATGGGATGTTTCATTGTGTCTTTTGATTCTCTATATACTCTTTTGTTTTCTAAATTTCTTAATTCCTGGAAATGTTTCCTTCTTTCTTTCCCCTCTAATCCTTCAAGCATAATCTCCTTTCTTGGAAGCAGTGTCTTTTAAGATGAGGACCTCTGGACTCATTACTCTCAAGTCATTGTATGTTCTTTCTCTATATTTAGTGTTCCAAAAATATCAAGTGTCAGACCTTTTCTGAGAGAAAGACCTCTCCTGACCATGAAATATAGACATCTATCTACACACACACACTGCATTCTTTCTCCTTACATAAAATGTTTATCCAACTCTCCGTTCCTGTGTCAGCTCTAATTGAGTCTCTGTTGCTTCCAGATTTTTATTTCCCCACTTAAGCATTTTTACATGTATTCCCCATCCTGATCCCCCTTCCCACCTCCCTCTCCACCTGATCCCTCTGGGTCTTTCCAGTGCACCAGGCCTGAGCACTCGTCTCATGCATCCAACCTGGGCTGGTGATCTGTTACACCCTAGATAATATACATGTTTCGATGCTGCTCTCTAAACATCCCAACCTCACCTTCTCCCACAGAGTCCCAAAGTCTGTTCTGTACATCTGTGTTTAAAAGAGAGATATCAGTGGGAAATTTACACAGTTTTCATTGCTGCACATGGCCTTCATCTAACGACTGATTTGCACCAGTTTTATTCTTCACAAATTTCTAGATTCTCTCCATCACCAACTGGCACAATTAACATTTCAAGGATTATCTATGGCATGATGTGGACACTCACCTGAAGGGAGCTTATCAGGACATGGATATGGCCCTTGTCCTTGGGTGGAGGGAAGATCATGAGATGTCCAAATACTAGAGGCAAAATATCATCTTTGTACCTCATTATATAACAGCAGGTTATATTTAAGTTCCACACCTTAACTTTTTCCATCACTGATAAGTTTAATATGTAGAATCTGTCTGATTATAAGTCCAAGGGCAGGAGTGCTTACACTAAAACTTGAAACTGCTGCAATTTTCTGCCTGGAAACCTACTAAATTTTCACAGCTTTTGTGCTCCATGGTGTACAGTTCAAAGATTTCCTTGGTGTGTAATATGCTACCTGCCAAACTGGAAAAGGCCTGTAAGACAGTTTGCTTCCTTCTTAATGATAGGAGGTACAAGCTGCATTACATTTTGTCTGTTTTGGAGAGGATGCCTCACAATCATTTGGCCCCTAAATCTTTGTAGTGTTTATTAGGAACTCCCACGCTTTCTGTGGACCACACATGTCTTAAAAAGGCCACCAACATACTAGCCAC